AGACAAACTAGATTGGGGTCTTATATTTAAGATCAAAATAAAAGTCAAACAAGATCTTATATTAAAGATTGGAGGTAGTATAACGTAGAAATAGTTATCTTCTTGTTGAAATGTTGTCATGCCAATTATATAATGTAGAAATAGTTATCTTCTAGTTGAAATGTTGTTATATCAGTATTAGCATCCCATAAGCTGCTTAGTAATTAATTTGATGAAACCGAAGGTAATGAAACTAAAAAACAAAATTGGGCTTTGCAATAATGAGTTTATTCAAGCTAATCAAGAAGCCGAAAGACAAATTTGAAATCATTGGTGTAACCAAAATTCACGGACCATAGCTAATGGATGAACATTCAGTAATAGTTGTGTAGTGATAGTTCAAGAAGTTGTCTTTCCTAACAAAAGCCGTGCTAGACTGCTAGTAATTTTATTTTTGACAAGTCAAGAGGACTAACAATCATATTAAGTTAAACAATATTAACGTCATTACAGCAAAGCATTTCTTCTTGTAATCTAAGGTTAAAAAATTAATTACTTTCCATTCTTCTCCCGTTTGGGAAACAACAAAAATAGCAAAGTCAATAAGATAAACAATTGAAAAAAATGATGACGGGAAAGCTTTTTTTTTTAGTCCCACTTTCTACTCCCCTTTCATCAAAAATCAAAACCCATCTTTAAAGAAGAGCATGATACAAGGAAGAACCAAGACACAGCCAACAAAATGGGTTTTTAAGAATCAACAACAACGAATCAATAATAACCCCAATATCAGAGATGTTGGAACTATGCTAGAGAAGAATACCAAGAACAGAGGAACAAGAGCATTCAACAAATAAATCAAATACACAAATGAACAACACAAACAACTCCACATGGAAGGAAGAGTCAGATCGTATCAACACTTGAGGCACTCCAATGGAAGAACCAAACATTTTGAAATTTGAACAAACCTATAGCAGATCGTCCACAATGAAGACTCAGAGAGGTAGATCCGATAGTGTATAACGATACTCAATCAAGATATGCAAGCACAACTCACATGCATATGTCAGATGGCCGTGGACATCACTTCGCGACAACGATGGTAGATCGGACAAGGGAAGAGTAAAGGAGTAGAGATCAAGGAGACAATGATATGACCTAGCATTTAACAGAGCTTACTGCAAAGACGTAATGGTAGAGGTTGTAACGTTCTGTTTTTGATCAGAGGAGAAGTGAACGAGCGTGAAAGGCTTTCAAAATTGAGAGAATGAGAGAGAATAATGAAAAAACAGAGAGAAAAATTATTATCTGACATAATAATAATTATTTCAACAATACTTTTACCAACCATGAGCACGATAAAGCTAAAAAAACCCCTCCAATTAGCTCATTAGAGCGTGCGTTTCAATTTCATTTTTGGTCCATAGTTAAGATGGGCTAAAAACACATTCAAAGGTCCAAACTTTTCAACCAGCCTTGTGGTCACAACAGGCTATTTACTGTGTTCAAAAGCGCCCAACCAAACAGGCTCGCATACTGTGGAACGCGGAGTAACTTCGCTCTGCTTCAGTCTGATTTCGTGTCAGAGAAATCATCATCGGGTAATCGAAGTCTTCCTGAACTTACCAAGAAGGACAATAAAGACGGAAAGAGAGTGGTGGTTGTTGGAGGTGGTGCCGCCGGATCCGTCGTAGCTAAATCTCTACAGTTCAATGCTCATCCAACTCTCTTTGATCCGTATGCTCTCCTTTTACTTCTTTGCCACCTCTGTATTTCTTCTTTTCTGCTTCTAATACTTCAAGCCATAATCTTTTTACACCCACAATTTCCAAAGTCTAGAACTTCGATGTGTTATTTTAGTATATTCTGGTTAAGTCCATCCTCATAAATTTTTATGGTGAGGAACTTAACTAAATTTTTTGCTCATTGAACGTTTCTTAGAGGGCGTGTTTGGCTTTGAAACCCATGTTCTACTCTGACTTAGTTTCGTCAAATAGTTTTTGGAAATCTTGTATCTTGGGTAGGAATTTGTGTCATTTCATATCCTACTTATGATCAAGTGATGCATAAACCCTTTCACGGAACTCTCTCTCAACATGGTTGTCATTTTACAGAAACTGAAGTATTGACCGCTGATCGCCGTTAGCTTCCCCATGACTACCTTGTTATTGCCACAGACCATAAAGATCCTGTTGCGAAAAGTAGGAAAGACAGGCTTGATCAGTACGTATCAGGTAAATTTTAAATTTAACTTAACTAGAGGGGGGACAAAGAAATCTGTAAATTGAAACGTCTGCAACTGCGGAGGCAATAATCTGTTCCAATACAAACACTTGGTAGCATTATATAGTTTTTTATGAGAAAAGTTTATTGCCATTGAATCATGGTGCTGTTGTACAGCCATGGAAGATATTTTAGAACACAGATCAATCACTATCTGGAATCAGTTTTTGTCACCGTTTATGATGCGCTGATATCGTCTAGCGTGGATTATGGCATTTTGCTGTGTGAATGTTTCATATAATAGATTCAGCCATGTAATGCATTGATCTGATCAGAGCACAAGTCATCAATTTTCTTTATACTGGCAGAAAATCAGAAGATAAAACCTGCAAATTCCATTCTGATTATTGGAGGTGGTCCCGCTGGTGTTGAACTGGCTGGAGAGACTGCTATTGATTTTCCAGATAAAAAGGTTACTTTAGTGCACAAGGGATCCAGGCTGATGGAATTCATTGGGCCAAAAGCTGCCGATAAGACTCTAAAATGGTTTGGATCAAAGGGGGTTGAAGTGAAGCTAGAGCAAATAGTCGACTTGAATTCCGTTGCAGATGGAAACAAGACATATCAAACTTCACATGGAGAGATAATTGAGGCAGACTGTGATTTTGTTTGCACAGCAAAGCCAGTTGGTACAGCATGGCTTAGGGGAACTGTGTTGAAGAATGACTTGGATGCTCATGGAAGGATCAGGGTAGATGAACATTTGAGAGTCAGGGGCCGGAAAAATATCTTTGCAATTGGAGACATTACAGATATTCCAGTAAGTACTTATTATTGCTGCGAAGTTGTAATCTTTTAACAAAATAATGAAGTTATTACTCAGGGTGCTTTTGATGAAAGTGAAAAGTCGTCTGTGGGAAATTCAGCACTAATACTTTTAGGCAGGAAACTATGCATTGAATTTATTATACTGCTTCCGTTCTTAATATAAGACATATTTAACTAATTTGATTAGATTAAGAAAGTTAAATAAGTTAATTAATTATAAGAAATATAAAATGTTTTTTTTCTAAAACACTATAATTATTTTTCTTAATATCCTTCTTCTTCTTTTACTTGATTATGGTTGAGAGAGTGTCTATAGGGATGATTCAGGAAAATTTGATCAATATGAGAAATATTTCTTATATTTATGATTAAAATTAACTTAACAATTAGGTCTTATATTAAGGACGAGAGGAGTATATGAAAATCTATTCACATGATGTCCAAAATATGCATTCTAGGAAGCTACTTTCATTTAAAAATTTAATTAGGAGAGGGTTGTTACTTAATGCATCCAGCTGACTTCTCATATGCTGAACCTTGTCAGTAGTCGGTACGTGTTAAACAGTCACCATTAAATTCTCGGAGTTATTCATTTTTATCACTGAATTTAATTTTCAGTTTGGTTATCTGCTTTCTGTGTCCTTGCTCTTTCCTTCATTTTTGGTCATGCATAAATTACATCTTGTGTGATGGTATTGGAGCAGAATTATAACCTTACCTATTAGTGATGAAAATAAATGTATACTCCAATTCTGATTTTGAGGTATTTGCACGCCACTGCATCGTGATCCCATCTTTTACTGCAGCTATTGACCGGAGGCTTCACTGCCAGTCTGTATGTTTATTTCATGGTTTGGTTTTAGGTCTTTGCAATGACTTAGTTGACGAAGACATAAGTATCCAAGATCCGGTGGGCCATGAAAACGAAAATAACAGTGGAAGACGGTGAACCACGAAATCGAAATGCCGTGTCTTGGGATAACCCTCTGGTGACCACACCTCGCGAAGATAAATACAGCGATGGACACACTTTAATTCGTAAGGATGATGTCGTTGTATAATTAAAGGCGAAATGGTTAATGTTCGCAAAGTACTAACAATAAAATTGTTTCCCAGAAAAGGCAGCCCTTTCCATCCAGAAATCCTCTTCCTTTTTCGGAAAAGCTGAAGACAAGAGCCTTCCTCCCATAAAGAGATAACATGCTACTTTGAAATATACATTAGATATTCCTTATGATGAATCCACTTCCAAGCGTATCAAATATAGCATCACTACCATTACAGTTTATATGACGCGTTAAAATTTCCATCTCATTATAGGTCAAGAAAAAAAAAATCCCTTTAGTCTCTAATATCTAACTACTTATTAGCTTTTAGGTTGGAAACAAACGCGAGCTTAAATTTTATAATCTTTAATATAAAGTTACTTCTATAATATCACTTTAATAAGAATATGATTTTGAGTTGACTTGACAATTCATAAATACGTACACACCAAACAACTCCGACCCCATATGATGACATGAGCGTGTTTGGAGGCATTTAACCCCAAAATCAAGCAAATTAAAATGACGTGCAGAAAATTAATTGAGTATCCCCAAGCACACCCAAGTCTCTAAGACCGCAGGCATCTACATAGTTCGGAATTTTAGAGTAGTTCCAGAAAAAAGCTTGTCTGATCTCTACAAAAGTGGCCTCAAGTCTCAACCTATAATCCTAGCCATTATCTTCCGTCTGAACTTACTTATTTCCGTTTGGATGAATTAGTCAAGCAGACCTCTCCTTTCTTTTGCAAAGCAAGTTGTTATTTGTCTTTATCATTGATATTATACTATTGAATATTGATTAGTCCAAGTCTTCGTAGACTCCGTGGAAGGTGTTTTACACATGATGATGACTTTTAAAAAGCCAATCAGGCTCGGAACAGGCCGCACCCCAAACAGTTTAGATAGAGCTATAAATCCCACACACTCGTCGGCCTGAAGTGAACGATCATCATCCTCCACTCAATCACAAAACATCATGTGGAAGCACCGCTGCTACCACGACTATGAACGCCGCCGGCTCATCCGCCGCATACTCCTCGGCATCCTGGCATTTGTCGGCCTCGTTCTCCTCACCATCATCGTGATATTGATCATTTTGAGACCCACCAAACCCCGTTTCACCCTCCAGGACGCCGTCCTTTATGCCTTCAACCTCCCACCCTCGCCCCCCGAGCTACCTCCTCCCACCCTCAACCTCACCATGCAGGCCACTTTGTCTGCTCACAACCCCAATGACGGAATCGGCATTTTCTATCGCTCCCTCGATGTCTACGTCTCCTACCGTGGCCAACAGGTCTCGAGGGCCGTGGTCATCCCCCCCTCATACCAAGACCATCACGATATTACCGTCTGGTCGCCCTACTTGTACGGAAACGCCGTGCCGCTTCCGCCATACGCGCTGGACGCTGTGCGGGAGGAGCTGAATACTGGGGCGGTGATGCTCAAGGTGGTGGTCGAAGGAGAAGTTAAATGGAAGGTAGGTTCGTGGGTGTCTGGAACGTACCACCTCCACGTCAACTGTCCCGCTTACATCAGGCTCGCCGGTGGCCACATCAGTGGCCCGGAAAGATGCGGTGTTGATGTTTAATGCACTTGAAGCGAGAGCAAAGTTATAATCGAACTAGCTGTTGAACGAAAACACTCTTCATCATCCCATTTGTAGTCTACAAGTGAGGTTTTAGGTGGTATAATCATATATCTCATCTTAGGTGGTCGATGTTTAGTTGTGTAACTGATAAGCCAAAGCAATTTGCAATTATCATTGTTCTTGTTGTTTAGTCTTCGCATCCTACATCATGCAGGCACCTCATGTTAGGATGTTTGAAATGGAATTGACGTGATGTTCCTACTTTAGAAAAACAAATTGGACTTGATACTTAATATAGTAAAGTAAAACGACTTAAAAATTTAAGCCTGATTTTTGAATTAAAATTTCCTCCGCTACTCGTGGACCATTTGCTTTTACTCGTGTGATATCAAATATAGCTTCACATTCCATAGATTCATAATATCCGTCGGACTCGGACAGGAATATCTTCGTTTGATTTTCTCTCCACTTCCTCTCTATTTATTATTTTTATCATTAGATTAACACCCAATGGCTGAGATTTAATATATTATAACAGTATTATTATAATATTAATTAAATGACAAATATATATATATATAAACAATTAGAAATTAATATGCATACATTACTTCTATAGATTTTTATTAAAATATTTTATAATTCATTTGTTTTTTATCCTGTGCGGTCTGATTATAATAATATCATAATATTGACTTATATATAGGTTACAATTATTTATATATATTATTATAATATATTAAATATCAACTATTGGATATTAATCTAATGATAAAAATAGTAAATAGGGAGAAGTGGAAGGAAAGCTAAATAAAGATAACTCTTTTTTGGCATTGGGCCTGTGCCTGTGCAGTGCACTTTATGAAAATAAACTGCATTAATTATATTTTATCATAAAAAAAGACTTACCGTAATTTTATATTCTATTTCTTTGCTGATCAACTGAAGTTACCAATTTGAATAATGCTACCATCCCGTTCGGTAGGAGATGGAGACACTTGTGGACCACAGACAGGGGGAGGTTCTCAAAAACCAACGTTAAAAGACTTTCTAAGTCAACTAGAACGTGTCCCACTGGTACATGGAGCCAAAATTTGTATATAGAACCTTTTAAAATGAGTACTTGTAATTATGAAATACGATTATCTAGATAAAACCAAAACAGATTTAACGAAGAATAACTATTTATATTAATTTTATATTCATATTTGTATGTTTGCACAGCCCTTATTGATTAATTTTTTGAAGTTAACATGTTTAGTTAATCTGTGGTTAACGAATAGCGAAAGGTGCAGCTTTTATCTTTCATGTCATTGAACACAGAATTTTCTATCCACATTTTAGATGTGTTTGGATGAAATCCAAATTATAATTTTAAAAGTACTTTTATAATATGTAAAGTAAATATATAGAGCTCGTTTTATAAAAAAGTATTTTTGAAAAATATTTTTTTATATTACAAAACACCTCCTTGTCATCATCTCTTATCAAATGAATAATAATGACGACGTCTTATAATGGCCTAGAATGAAAGATTTGCTGGATAATACTTGTTTACTTCATCGTTTCCCTTAGCCCATTCCGTTAGGCTTCACCCGATACTCGATAATGGGGCAACCTGGGCCCATTGCCTAAGAACCACAACAAATGGGCAGTCTCCAGGCCCATATTTCCCCTCTGCGTGGTCTTTGTTCTTTTTGATTTTCTGTCTGGGGCCCTTGGCAATTGGACGTCTCCAGATGGCAATTCTCTAATCGATTATGCTTTTTCCCTGGAACGCGAAATAACTTCTCTCTGCTCTCTTTATCTGATTCCGTGCCATGGAAATCATCATCGGATAATCGAAGTCTTCCTGAACTTAATAAGATGGACAAGAGAGACGGAAAGAGAGTGGTGGTTGTTGGAGGCGGTATAGCCGGATCCGTCGTAGCTAAATCTCTACAGTTCAATGCTCATCTAACTCTCATTGATCCGTATGCTCTTCTTTTACTTCTTTGCCACCTCTGTATTTCTTCTTTTCTGCTTCTAATACTTCAAGCCATGATCTTTTTACCCACAATTTCCGAAGTGTGGAACTTTGATGTGTTATTTTAGTATATTCTGGTTAACTCTATCCTCATAAATTTTATGATGAGGGACTTGACTTAATTTTATACGCATTGAAAGTTTCTTTGAAGGCGTGTTTGGCTTTGAAACCCATGTTCTACCCTGACTTAGTTTCGTTAAATAGTTTTTGGAAATCTTGTATCTTGGGTAGGAATTTGTGTCATTTCATATCCTACTTATGATCAGGTGATGCATAAACATTTTCATGGAACTTTCTCTCAAAATGGTTGTCATTTTCATTAAGCTGGTTGGATACATTTTAATTCAGGAAGGAATATTTTGAGATACCATGGGCAAGCTTGAGGGCAATGGTTGAACCATCCTTTGCAGAGAGGTCTCTGATCAACCATAGAGATTACTTCTCCAACGGCGACATTGTTACATCCAGCGCTGCCGGTATTACAGAAACTGAAGTATTGACCGCTGATAGCCGTCAGATTCCCTATGACTACCTTGTTATTGCCACAGGCCATAAAGATCCTGTCGCGAAAAGTAGGAAAGACAGGCTTGATCAGTACGTATCAGGTAAAATTTAAATCTAACTTAACTAGAGGGGGGACAAAGAAATCTGTAAATTGAAACGTTTGCAAATGCGTAGGCAATAATCTGTTCCAACATAAACACTCGGCAGCATTATATAGTTTTTTATGAGAAAAGTTTATTGCCATTGAATGATGGTGCTGTTGTACAGCCATGGAAGATATTTTAGAACACAGATCAATCACTATCTGGGATTATTTTTTGTCACCGTTTATGATGCGTTGATAATGTCTGGCTTGGATCATTGCATTATGCTGTGTGAATGTTTTATATAATAGATTCAGCCATGTAATGCATTGACCTGATCAGAGCACAAGTCATCAAAGTTTCTTTCTGCTGGCAGAAAATCAGAAGATAAAATCTGCAAATTCCATTCTGATTATTGGAGGTGGTCCGACTGGTGTTGAACTGGCTGGAGAGATTGCTGTTGATTTTCCAGATAAAAAGGTTACTTTAGTGCACAAAGGATCCAGGCTGATGGAATTCATTGGGCCAAAAGCTGCCGATAAGACTCTAAAATGGTTTGGATCAAAGGGTGTTGAAGTGAAGCTAGAGCAAATAGTCGACTTGAATTCCGTTGAAGATGGAAACAAGACATATGAAACTTCACTTGGAGAGATCATTGAGGCAGACTGTCATTTTGTTTGCACAGCAAAGCCACTTGGTACAGCATGGCTTAAGGAAACTGTGTTGAAGAATGACTTGGATGCTCATGGAAGGATCAGGGTAGATGAACATTTGAGAGTCAGGGGTCGGAAAAATATCTTTGCAATTGGAGATGTTACAGATATTCCAGTAAGTACTTAATGCTGCGAAGTTGTAATCTTTTAACAAAATATTAGTTACTCATGGTGCTTTTGATGAAAGTTAAAAATCTCCTATGTGAAATTCATATGACGTCCAAAATGTGTATTATAGGAAACTACTTTCATTTAAAAATTTAACTAGGAGAGGGTTGTTAATGCATCCTGCTGAATTCTCATACGCTGAACCTTTTCGGTAGTCGGTTCGTGTTAAAAAGTCACCGCTAAATTCTCAGTGTTAAGAGTTATTCGTTTTTATCACTGAATTTAATTTTCAATTTGGCTCTCTGCTCTCTGTGTGTCCTTGCTCTTTCTTTCGAGTTTTGTCATGCATAAATTACATCTTGTTTGATGGTATTGAACTAGCTTTGCAGACTGTCCTCTATCGCCTAAATTTGGAGCAGAATTATAGCCTAACCTCTTAGTGATGAGAATATATGTTCATGAACGCGGAGCCTCCAATTCTATTTTATGGTATTTGCACGCCATCGCATCACGATCCCATCTTTTGCTGGAGCTATTGACCGGAGGCTTCACTGCCTGTCTGTATCTTTATTTCATGGTTTGGTTTCAGGTTTTTGCAGTGACTTAGTTGACGAAGAAATAAGTGTCTAAAATCCACGAGTCTAAATACTCAGATGTTTCGCGGATATGCGTGCATGATCTCCTACTCATTTCTGTCATTGTATTACCTGGACCGTCTACTGCATGTTTGAATATGTGGCATTTTAAGTTTTCTTGCAAGTTAACCTGAATAGAAATTCTTTGATGGGAATCTGCAAAACAGGAAATCAAACAGGGGTTTCTGGCACAAAAGCAGGCTGATACTGTTGTAAATAACTTGATGCTGTTGATGGAGGGAGGTAATGAAAATAAGATGAAAACTTACAAGCCACATTCTGCACTGGCAATCGTATCACTTGGGAGGAAAGACGCGGTGGCACAGCTTCCATTCTTGACAATCAGTGGAAGAGTTCCTGGCTTGATAAAGTCTGGAGATTTGTTTGTTGGCAAAACAAGGAAGCGTTTGGGACTCCAACCTGATGTCACGCAAACTTGAGTAAATATAATGGGCAACGCTGTCTATAAAAATGATCTCACTCTTCCATCGCATGCTTACTGTGCATTATCTGTCCTTCTTTTCCTTTTTTATTATGTTCTTGATTAAAGGAAAGGAATGTCTCTGCTTCTATGATAGAATCAGTTCGATGCTGATAAGTGGACTGCTGGCTTGGCTTGAGATTAATTGTGAGTCAGAAGTGGCCATGCAGTCTTTGTTATTGAGTTATTGGAGCATTCACTTTTTCCATTGTTAAATTTGATTGATTTTTAGATACATGCTAATTGGACCCCTCTTATTATAAGCCTCATTTAAGTATTGATATCCGTATTTGGCTTAATTTTCTTATATTTTAAAAATAATTCGATATTATATCTCGGCTTTCAAAGTTAGGAAATGAATTAATTAAAAAATAAATATATGAATTAAAGTTCTGCAGTGAGATAATTGAGATTTGAGTCAAATACTACCTCCGGTCCTTAATATAAGACCCTATTTGATTTTTATTTTGATCTTAAATATAGGACTTTAATCCATTTTGTCTCATATTTATACATTTTTTTTTCAAAGTAGCTCTTCTAACAATGATAGTTCTAGTCAATACATTTGATTAGCAAGGATATTTTAAGAAAAACAACACTTATTTAGGATAAATAACTAACTCAACTTACTTTCTTAATCTTTTCAAATTAGTCAACTGACTCTTATAATTAGAACCGGAGGTAGTACATACATATTTTTCATTTTTAATGTTGAAAAAATGTTTACAGAAAACTCATAATGGAACCAAGGAATAATGTATGGATTTTCTCCCTTATTTAATGGCAAACATGATATCCTGTAAATAACAGAACTGCAATATATGATAAGCGTAAATAAATGTTGCTTAATCGATAGCTCTTTCCCTTAGGGATTAAAAGGTTGTTAATAACATGAACGAGTTTGGGCCAACGTGATAAACGAGTTAGCTTTTCATATATATGCACTCTATTTTCAAAGTCTAATTCTTCGTTTATGTGTGTGTGTGTTGGGGGGGGGGGGGCTATTTAAATAGGGTTGCTTGAGTTCAAAACTCTGTGTTACGTAATTAAATTAAAAAATAGAGGTTCAAAACCCTAGAGTGACCTTTCGAGAATTAAAAAACTTTTTATTTCGACGTGAGTGTTATTTATCGATCATAATATCGAATATCTTGATACGGTTGCATTGGACAATATATAGAGGGATCAAGCACTTGACCTCTATATTTTCACCCAGACTCCAACGAATCTAATGTACACATTTAAATAAAGTGAAGCCGTTTAACCTTGAAACCTGAGAACTAACCTTGAGGGATGTTAAGATTCTGGCTTGTTGGTTCTTGAAGAATCTGGAAGCCCTCATGATTCGTCACCCACATGTTAGCCAGACGGCCGAGACGGCGAGTCGTTACCCCTCCCTCTGGAGTCTGAAATCTAGAATAATTTTCCTGCTCATTTTATTTTATTTATTATATATTCAAAACACAAGTTGAAGATATGATGAGTGTTCCTCTAGAAACGAAAGTAAAAGTCAAATTTTTGCCACTAGTCAAAGCACTGATGAGAGGGATGGATAATCTTAACATATGTTTAGACGAACTCCTTCACGCAAAGGAACTAATTAATACAAATAAGACTTCAAGCCTGGAACAAAATTTCTACTTGGTTTCAAAGAGAAAATGAGCAGCATGACAACATAACAGGATCCTTGAAAACTAAAAGATAGAGGAATCCCATTTATCAACATATAATCAAACAGAAAACTTCATTTGGGTGGCTCTTTTTTTATACATATTTTTTAAACTTGAAGTGGCCGTCTTATTTGAATATGCTCTGGCCAAGGATTGTTGACCTGCAATCTCAAGTAAGAGCTGATGCAATGCTGGCTGACAGCTGGAGATTTTTCAGTTGTAAGGGAAACATGCTCAGAACTATCTCAGGATTTTTATTTATTTGTTTGTTTTAAATATTTCCACTTTAATAATAAATAATATTAAGGGATTGAAGTAGCAAGCTAACGTACGTAGGCTGTTACGCGGGAAGGACGCAGTAATGCAAAAACGTTGCCCTCTTGACTCTGCATATTCAAATATGTTGTTTGTGTTGGTATTCATTATTTTGAAATATAGTGGCTTTCTTGGACACGCAATGATGCAAGCGCCTCGTACTCTATTTATGTTGCCTTATTTCCCGTCTGTGAACGAATCCATCAGCACAGCAAAATTCAACCACATAAAACAAAGCATCCACGACAAATGGAGAAGAAAGTTGTCATCATCGGAGGTGGTGTCGCCGGTGCCGTCCTTGCTAAAACTCTTCAAAATCATGCCAATGTCACTCTTATCGATCCGTAGGCTCTCTTATTTATATCCATACCACAATCATAGTCTCTGTTATTTACTAGTTCAATTCTTTTCTCTATGCTGCTGAGTTTTTCTTCACAAAACTTCGATTCGATTTAGCTTTCCTGGACTTTCACTATAATAGCATAGTCTTCATGTTGTTACCTGACTTGTTTATTCCCAACTTATTATCATTCAGACTTGATGTTCCAAGTAGTTTGCTCTTAGAATTACTTGATGTTCTTTTGGTGATGAATGACCTCCTGCATATACATGGAGATTTCTGATTGAGTGATATTGATATCAGGAAGGAATATTTTGAGATTCCATGGGCAGCTTTGAGGGCCATGGTTGAGCCATCTTTTGGGGAGAGGATAGTGGTCAACCATAGAGATTACTTCAAAAAAGGCAACCTCGTTACATCCAGTGCCGTCAATATAACTGAAACTGAAGTCTTAACTGAAGATGGTTCTCAGATTCCCTACGACTTTCTTGTTATTGCCACTGGACATAAAGAACCTCTTCCAAAAACTAGGACTGAAAGACTCGACTACTACAGAGCAGGTAAATTTTCAGCCTTCATTCTTAGAAAGTCTATGCCTTTGAATAACTATTTACTTGTGAGGGATGTTTCCAATGGCAGAACATGAAAAGATAAAATCTGCAAGTTCAATTCTGATAGTTGGAGGGGGACCTACGGGTGTGGAACTTGCCGGAGAGATTGCTGTTGATTTTCCCGAGAAGAAGGTGACTCTAGTGCACAAAGGAACAAGGTTGCTGGAATTCATTGGGCATAAGGCTTCCAAGAAGGCCTTAAAGTGGTTGAAAGCAAAGAAAGTTGAAGTGAAACTAGAGCAATCAGTCAATTTGGACTCGGTTTCAAACAATGCATACCAAACTTCAGGAGGAGAAACCATCGAGGCAGATGTTCATTTTCTTTGCACAGGCAAACCGCTTGGCTCAGCATGGCTCAGAGAAACTATATTAAAGGGTCACTTGGATTCCGAGGGGAGGATCCAGATTGATCAGAATTTACGAGTCAAGGGCCGGAACAACATTTTTGCAATAGGAGATATTACTGATGTTCCGGTAAATTATGTGCTAATTTTTGTTGCTTTATTTAAGGGCTAAGGCTCAATCCTTTGGACTTTAAGTTTCCTTTTCTGACTCTTCGGACTAAGAAAAATCTATGCGGTGCAGGAACTTAAACAAGGGGCGAATGCAGGAGAGCATGCTCAAGTGGTTGCAAAGAATTTGAGAGTATTGATAGGGGAAGGAAAAGACAAGAAACTAGGAGAATACAAGGCACGGCCTGCTGTAGCAATTGTTTCACTTGGAAGGAAACAGGGGCTTGCACAGTTCCCTTTCATGACGGTGCTTGGAAGGTTCCCAGGCATCATCAAGTCTGGTGATTTGTTTGTGAGCAAAACAAGAAAGGATTTGGGATTGGAACCTAAATAGGTTGATATTTGTGAGTGGTGTGTTATGTACAGATTTGTTTAAGCTCTTTGTCATCTTTCATGTCCCCAGCTTGATAATTTTGTTCACTGTCATTTCTCTTCTTCCAAAAAAGAAACGTTGTCTGTAATGCTTCTGTTAAGAGTTTGAATACTACGAGTGTTGTTGATTAAGATGAGAGTGTTTACATCAGTCAGAAGATGCATCTACCTGTTGATATTAAATCAATGGAGCTTTATTTGTTTGGTGTTCATGTAGTTGATTCTAAAGTGATTTCAGCTTCATCAGATATTTGACACTATACTCTTTTCAGTATGGCTTAAAAAGGCACCGCTAGGAGAGTGGAGAATCCTTTACCTCCACTGTTTACAAGATACACTCCTTATTCATCCTTATAGAAGCCCTCTTAAAACATTCACAATCCCATCCTTTACCGTCAGTATCATAACTTGCCTTATTGGTAATGCGGGGATCAAAATATCAAATACTTCATCGTCGAGTGAAATCGTATTGTTGCCATAATGCAACTCTTCTTATTCATCCTCAAACAGACGCTAAGCACCACGGCTCTAAACAATCAATGGACGAAGTTGCATTCCCACTAATAGCAAATACCCAAATACAAACTAGTCAGATTGATGATGCTACATTAAATTCTTTCGCACAAAACCTCTTCGCCACTCTCTCAGCCACCTCGACCTTGCCATGAAGTGTACATGCCCCCAACAATGCGTTTAAAACGGCTTCATCAGGCTCAATTTCCATTCTCAAAATCAAGTTCCCTGCTTCCTCCACCTGACCATTCCTTCCTAACATGTCTACCATGCATGTGTAATGTTGCAACCCTGGCTTCACACCAAACCTCCTATCCATCATCTCAAAATATTCCTTTCCCTTATCTATGAAACCCCCATGACTACATGCCGTCAAAACTGCAGTAAAAGTCATACCATCTGGCCTCTCTCCTTCTTCGACCATTCTGTCAAACAACTCAAATACTTCATCAAATTTGCCATGCATTCCATAACCCGACATGATCGCAGACCATGTCACTACATTCCTTTGGTGCATTCTATCAAACACCTTACGTGCTTCAACTAAATCACCACACTTAGCATACATGGTTATTAATGCGGTTGAATTGCCCAAATCTGAGGCAAGCCCATTGACAACAACAGCTCCGTGGACTTGCCGACCAAGCGGTAGGGCCGACAAACCTGCACATGATTTAAGGACCGCAGGTAAGGTACGGCAATCAAATGGCTTCAGGTCAAGCAGCATTTGGCGGAAGATCGAAAGGGACTCGGAGAATAAATTGAGAGATGAATAGGCTCTGATAAGGGAGTTAAAGAGGAAAGTGGGCCGGCGATTGGTGAAGGAGAAGAGGAGACTGGCTTCCTGCAATTGGGCACAAGAAGCATAGGAAGACACAAGTTTGATGCGAATAAAATCATGGCTAGATATGCCTAAAACAATAGTGCGCGCGTGAATTAGTTTAAGATTCTGCAACTGCTTTGTGGAGGGGCGAGCGTCGAGAAGAGAAGCATAAAACGATATTGACATGTTTTACCTTAGAGACAGAGAAGGGCATATCCAAATACCATGGCGAAAAACAATTGGGGAAGGGCCGAACTCCAAGTCTGCAACAAGAGGAGAGCTTGAGAAGGGCGTGACTGCAAAGAGAAGGGAGTGAACTAGCAGCTCGAGCTTCACTGGGAACGGAGGTCAGAGATGTTAGATGCGGGAGCGTTAGCATTAAGCCGCGACGAAGCGTTGGAGGAGGACAGGACAGAGGGAGCTCGCCCTTGAGGTGTGGGAGGTTGGGCCGAGGAAGACGAGTGTTTTGAGATAATGGGCTTTCGTGATAGTGTGGACTTCAACTATGAGATGGGCCTGAAGATGTTATAATTGGGCTCAATGGAGGCAGTGACGAATTATGTGAAGCTTTCCCCCATCTTTTGTTTCTTCCTTTTGTAGTTCCCTTCTCTCCCTCCCTGAGTTTCTAATTCTTTATCCCTCTGAGTTTATTTACATTTTCTTCTATATTTAGAGTGATCCATGTTTTGTAGCAAGTTTATACATGATTGTAAGCTTCAGCTTCCATTGAACATTATGTATTGTAAACATAACATGTTTTTCAAGTAAGTGATGTGAAGAATGAAATCAGATTAGGTTAGGACATGATGGAATGAGTTTTAAAAAATAAATAAAACATTAGAAATACAATGACGTCCAAAGTAATATTTGTTATGAAGAAAATTTAATTATTTAATAGATTCACAAATTATTAACAAATTAATGCAATGCAATGACTGTGAATAAGTATACAATTATAATCATAAATAGACTAGTCAGATATTCACAAATATAAAAATTAAATTAAATGAAGGCCTATCACAATTGGTATTTAAATGGCTTCCTTAAGCATGTAGTCAAGAGTTTGATCCTAGACGATAGGTATGGAAAGGGTTTCATAGTCAGCACTAAAGTTCTTTCAAAAAGTTTACAGTGCAAAGAGATTAGTCACTACTACCAGCGATCAATAATGGGTAGTCTATGCTCAATAAAAAAAAATCATGCATATTTGTGAGCACTAATTACTAATTAATTGACTATATGCTTAAATACGCAACTCCACTGCTTTTTTTTTTGGGGGGCTGTCCCACGTCACTTCACCCTCATGGTTCTCCACTACTGTATTTGAAGTGGGGAAAATACCTTCTGGTGCTAATATCATGCTACTCTCCACATTTCGTCTGTAAATTTATAATCCACAGAGAAACGGGGGAGACAGAGTTGTCGCGAACCTAATCTTGGAGGTCTTTTATGTACATATTTTTAACTGCTTATAATAATATCTCAAGTCAGATGCATTAACTTGATCAAAGCTTTTCTCTTTTTGCTTCTCTGTTTCTTGTTGCTTGCTTCCCAATAATCATATTCTATCATAATGCATCGCGTTGCTAAGTATGAGAAAGTGGAAACCTTCTTTATATGATAAGTGTAGTTGATTATTTATGGACAAAGTGATACATGCTCCAACAAATCACTGAAGCGATCAATATTTTCTTCTCTCTCTGTTGCCAAAAAAAAGTCATCTTCCTTTTTTATCTTATTGGGGCACATGCAGAATATCACAATGGAAAACAACTCAAATCCCACTTAGCGTCTCACGAATGTTCAGCTTGTGTGGTTAGAAGGAAATATGAACCAAACATAATTATTTAAGTTGCATTTACGAATTGTCTACCACTGCAATCTCACTTTAATGCAGCTTCCACAACTCAAAAACTGGAGCGACCATCTCTTTTATATATGATGCCCTGGAGGGTTACATGAATTTATTATTAAAGAATGAAAAAAATGAAAGCTCATAATGATTTCATCAATTGGTATATTTGTAACGAGTTTCTCATCTACACTACGTCATTCACCATGTGTCACAACAAAGCTAAAAGGAAATCTGATTTCCAACCAATGGGTTGTTGAAAGAAGCATCAACCGAGTAAGATGCCTCTACTTTTCTTTTCGGCCATTAAAATAAAGAAGAAAACAAGTACATGGCAGATTGCTCCCTAAAATTACAGAGCATGTGCCGTACTCATTGCCATACTTAGGTGTCGTACAGGCCAGAATTAAACTAATCCTCATTTGGTTTACTTTAATGGAAATCACGATAAGTGCTTTGTGAGATCAAGATTTGGAATGCTTGACCATCATGTTTGTCCCAAGTTAGGTCTAAGTTTGAACAGCCAATTCTTATATTCATGGATCGTCACCTTTGTGATCGGACCACTAACTATAATCTAAAACAATCACCACGTGATTCCTAATTAAGATGCAAGTATCATATCAATTAGCAGGCAGCACCAGTTCTGATGAATGTCCTTACTCTATTCTGTTGATCTTTGCTGCGGAGTCTCCAAGCTAACTATTCATATTCATGTTTCAACGTTTTTGTATTGTTGTTACTCGCCAAGTTGAATTTGGATGCCTTGCATATGTTCTGTTCCAGGTTAATTTTGGTCTAGTTTACGACCTAAATCTGGACATTTCATATATTTTTCTATCCAACTAGCCCATATTGGCAGTTCTGAGTGAAAAATAAAGGTACAAACCAACAAGAACCAAAGGAAATTCAGAACATGAGATTGACGTTATTCAAGAATCAAGATCAAGAAAACCACATGATGGATTTTCCTTATTTGCACAGGAGCTTACAATCGCACATCTACTAGTCAGATACTCACAAATATAGTAATTAAATGAACCGACTATAGCATAACTTTATGCCATACAGTAAGTTATGATCTCATATTAAGGATGGTTCACTTTGTTCAACTGACGCATACATATATGTCACACTCTGTTTGTGTTATGTTGATCAGACGCTGACTTAGATTCTGGTGAATTGGCTGGAGTCGAATCTTCAACCAGAATCACTACGTGGGGGTTATTATCACCATGTGGAGTAGACTGTGTTCTGTTTGGGGGTTTAGCTGTTTCCACAGTTTCGAACTCCATGAGCGAGGGAAGTTCATTCACAGCTTCTGCAATTTCCTCAGTGCAGGCAACAATATCACTTAGCAAGGAAGCCACTGTGGCTGCTGGAAGGACTGATAAAAGATCTGTTTCTTTCCATAAGCTTGATTTGAGCAGTGAATTGAGGCTCTTAGCAGCAGATTTTGAGTTGGAAATATGGGTATCCGCAAAGCATGGCTTCTTCATTGTACTCAGTGCCACTCCCAGCTCCTTCAGAGCTTTCGCTGATTCCAAACTCATGGCTGAACAAGCCTCCTGGATTATGCTCTTAATCTCTGGCGATGCCTGCAAAACATTGGAGCAACCAATGCTAGTGTTAACAGTACTGGACTATACCGAGAAACAAAGAATCTGAAGCTTTGTTTGTGTCTACATATACTTGGAGGTTAGAGTTCAGTTGAGCATTCAGAGCTTCCATTCGATAGGCGCATTGTCGGGTAAGCGTTCCAACTTCAAGGTATTTGTCCCACGGATGACGAAATTGGAACCTCCCATGACCCGGTTCCCATCTTGCAAAATTAGCCTGATCAATGAACATTATATGTATGTATCAGATCATGTGTGTTAATAGAATTTCTATTTCAAAGAAGCGAGAGAAAATATTTCTTTTAGTTTACCCACCAATGACTCTTCAGTACTCTTTGAATTGAGGACATTTTTGTACCCCTCCAGCAAGGCGGTCTTGTCATCCTTACAATCTCCTTCCTTAGATGTTCTAAAATACTCCTCTTCAAACGCTGCAAGATTTTTTTTTTTTAAGGGGGGAAAAAAAAAGCTTTAGCAGTTTTGTCTCATTGAACAGATGATATTTCCCTACAATTTTTACTGTTGAATAATCTAACCTTGTAAGAAGTTGGCGAGACTTTCCAAGTTAAGGGAAATTAAGCTGTGGAGTTCTTCACCGGCCCACACAGGACAAACAAAAATGGATATCATGACACATGCAGAGCCCCCAATGAAAATGGTGAAGAGCCTTCTGTGTGCCATCTCTATAATTTCATCCTCTCGAAAACCAGATACAGATATCAGTGAGAATGTCAAGATGAATATGAGCAACCCATAATCGTATCTTGCTTTGATTTCGGGGAAGAATCTCATAAATGTTGCTATTGCAGCTGCATAATAAAATATCACCCAAAATCCCGTCAACATTTTCAAGTTCAACAATCATACTTATTATCTGCCAAATGCATGTTAATTACTGTTTAATCACCTTGAAGAAACACAAAGAAGCTAAGCAGTATAGGTTCTATTGTCTGTCCAGATAGGTCAGCTAAGTAATGAGTTCCGACACCAAGAGCACCAGCAAGTAGCGTAGCTAATCCCCTGTTTAAACCTTTTCCTAGAGTGGCTCCTAAAAAGTGTCACAAAAAACAATATAAGTACACGAATCCCAAAATGTTTACAACATGCAAATGAGTTTTGGCTCAGAAATACTGAAGTCACTTACCCACAGAGTACTCAAAGACTACAACTACGGTCATAACAGCCCACATTGCAGAGAGACCAAAACTGTCATATAGTGGCTGATAATAGTAGAATAGAGACACCAGAGTGAGCGTAATTCCTACTTTGAGGGCATGAATGACTCTTCTTGGGTCGTCTTGCCCTATCTCTTTGGTTGTCCTGTAAGTATTGATAACCTTCTCCTTCAAAGCCTTAGGCATGGCCTTAAGCTTCATCAATCCACGAGACATTATCCCTGTTGATGTGCGCTGGTTTGCAGAACTCATCTGCATAAAAACTGACGGTGGAGACTGGGAAGCAAAAATAATAATGCATGCACTGATAAAAACAAATGGTGGTTGATAATGCTTAGTAAGGCCTCGTAGGGACCTTCTGTTTATTTATAGATAGGTGCAAGGGGTAAAGCATCTCCTGAAGATTTGAGGAATAATTTTTTAGGAATAATTTTAAGTTCTTATAAAAATGTGTTGCGACTTAATTTGTGCTGTTATGTAGCACAATAAACGAAAGTTAATGAACTAAAATTAGGTTTGGACTTGAGTATGCGACAAAACTAAGAATAATGACATAGACACTTGAAGGAATAATAAATAAATTGATTGCTAGGCCACGAAGACGTCAATAATGTTGCATCTCAGCAGGGTGTGGATATAGACACGCATTGCCATGAGCCCACAAGTCTTGAAGGCTAAATTAAAGGCTATACTAGAGCCACTTGGGGTGTAACTGTGTAACAAGTCATGAACGAATAAATCTGAGGCTGGAGCCACATCAATTAAAGCAGGTGATAAGAAATATATGTTGTTTACGACCTGATTCTTTTATGTTAGGCACGCTTTTGGGCAGGACAATCCAATTTACTGAGATTTTTCGATGTCAACTCATTAATTAGCATATCATATGTTCTATGTAATGAAGAGTGAGAACCAGTAAGAAGGAATCGTCTAAAAATTAAGGTATCATAACATTGAATATTGATCTTGCTTAAACACATCCTAGAACTCAACTACTGTTGACTTTGGTTAAGTTCAGTTCCCATCTCCTAGACTATTCGTAGCATGTCATGTGGAAGTGTCAGTTTCAACATAGAGCAGAAGTTTTACATCAAGCAATTAAAACACCTCATATCATCTCAAAAATAATTGTGACTTAACTATCATTTTCCCAACTTCTCAGATTCAAGCATCGGCTTTGGTAACATCAGTGATAAGGACAACTTTTCATGAAAAGGACTAGTCTGGACTTATATGCATTATAATACAAGGAGATCTTGTTCTTATGATCTTATCTGTATCTTGTTTGCAGTTGTTTGATGAAGCAGCTATGTAGGGCCCTGGCTCCCTGCTGTTAAAAGCCACCAAATTTAAATAGCTGGCAACCGAAAAGAACCATTTTTTATCTGAAATTTTTATCTTGTTGGCTTTTTTTTCCTGATCATTGTTCGAAGAAGCTAGCAAGTTCTATAATAATACAAGCTGCTATGTGATTGAGGAACTATCATTCTTAGACGTGAAGAGCCACTTATCCGCAAGTCTGCTTATACCCTTTGTATTTTCCGCTCTCTCTCCTACGGAAGTATCTTTCCAGTTTATCCACGAGTACTTTGCGTGTGCTCCCATTGAATGATGAAAACGGATGTGAAGTGAAAACGACGATTTTAAGAGTCATTGTTTGTCATTGATTGTTTTTCAAATGACTGAAAATGAAACTCCTTTTTTTGTCTTTGATAAGAGAAGAAAATTATCAGTGAAATTGCAATTCTGTTCACATATGGATGGATGATCATATCTTCCAAAAGTTACATTTCTTGATCAGGCATTAGGTGCTCACCCCCGTCACACAACTACCCATGTCTGACTTGCTCCCTTATCCCCTTTATTATGGTTTTGTTTAGTTCTAGACCTTTTATCTGATTCGGGGTTCTGATACGACAAAAAAATCATAGTCCAAAATTTTTCAGACCGTCTACGAATAGTCGCTCACTCCACAAGGTATATTCTCAGAAAAACTTACTCATGTGAAAGTGAGAGTTCGTTCTGTCGTCTTCTTTTCTGCATTACAACCCTCATTGAGCTTTCAGACGGACTCTTCAAATCATAGAAGAAACTGCACAGTGACATTTGTTAAACTTAAGTTATGTCTTATGCGCTTGGAACAGTGTTGCTATCTTCCTATATGTACACAACCCATCATTCTTGACAAGACACAAAACTTGCTTCGATCAGAATAAAGTAGCACCAAATGGTGGCTGTATTAGACATATGGGATTATCAAGGAATTAAAAGCGCGGGGATAATCTAAACCGACAAGGCAAAGACAGATACGTAATCAGAAGATTAAGTGGAAAAAATGTTCTCTGAGGAGAGCCTAGCTATTTCCTATAATTGCTTCCCACCCGCGGGATGTGTCTGCCACGATCTTTTGATTCTTTGCATCGTACTGTGATAACAGGGAAGGGAGTGGTGGAAGCTGGGTTTAAAACTTAGTTAGTGTTGCGGAAATTAAAGTGAAAAGGCATTGATCGGCGGAGATGAAGTTTTGAACAAAGTTACAAAAGAGTGTCGACATGTGGAACGTAAAGCAGATATGGATTGAATATATTCGGTGTGAGCTCATCTTTATTTCTTGGGTTTTCTCAATGAAAACGCAGGCTAAAGCATCGACTCAACTCCATCCATTTCAATTGCTTCGGCTTTTCTCAAATCAAACTGTGGCCATGAATTTTTAGATCGATGAGGACGCTAGAACATCAAATTTCTACTTGTTCTGTACTTGTTAAAATTCTAAAATGTACATAATAGCTACCGATATATATGTATTAGACAAAATTCTATATTCGGTGTCGTATGAGCATCATGCTTGCTGTAATAATCAAAGGGTGAACGTTGAACATGCATGTGAAGTTGCTAACCATCCAACACAATTGCATTCTTATCATCCACAACATCCTTGCTTAAAGGGGCCTCTCATTTAAAGTTCAGATATAAAGTCCCCCCCCCCCAGAAAAGTTCAGATATAGTTAAAAGAACCACATTACAATAAAATAAAATTTGAGATTATATTAAAATAAAAACTAATGAAAAATGAAAAATGAACCTAAGAAAACAAAAATGAAATTAAATCTAGCCTAGATTTATCATCTCCAACTAAGCATGCATATTCCTAATACGAAAAGATCCCAACAATAAATAGAGAAAGACGTGAGAAATGGAATAGGGAGCGTCACCAGATGTTATTTCATGTACACCTTTTCTGGTGATAGTGATGAGAAGCAGCTAATAATCTGGTGCCACATGATTAGCCCCTGTGAGGGTCAATTAGTGGCACCAGCAATAGGGTGAAGCAGCATCAATTTCTAAACAAACTTCTGGAAAGTGTTGAGGGTCTGCGTTTGATAATGACTTGCACTAACAATACCTCTCACTTTGGTTATTAATTAAATAAACTGGTAGTAGTAAAAATCAATGACTTTAGACTTGATGGATTTATATGATTAAGACATCCACTAACAAATCCTCCTTTTTGCTTCTTATTTCACTTAGAATGCACTTCGCCGCTTGCAGTACACTCGAATCCCAAAAGTTTAAACTAAAAAAGTTGCTTATGGGGGACAACAGAATTTTATAAGGCTAAGCATTCCATAGTTTATTAGGACCTAAACTAAAGGGCACCGAGCCTAGAGGCTTTCTCAAACCCCCACCGCAAATAAGCCCAGACCAACCCTGACCCTCCGATTCTTAAGCCACCATGCTGTGCACCAATCTAAATAAACCCAAACCAAAGGGGTCATTTAACTAAATTATTCTTGTATTTTAAAAAAAAAAACTAAACTATTCAATATTATGGTAGAGCGCAAGCTTAAATTTCAAACGCTCCATAACCATATTAGGCTCCAAGAAGAAAATGTTACAGCAAAACCAGCCAGAGCCCAAAGGTCTGGCGTTCAAGTGTGTGCGTGTGCAAAGAGCCGGACCGGAGGCATTTCATAGTTACTCATGGATGAGAAGAACCATACAAGGCATATATACACAGACATACATATATACTCGCGGTTTGTGGTGACTAGAAAGAGAACCATGATTATTCGTTCGACGATGATCGACGAGGCATCTATATCTAAGAACAAATCCGAGGGTCAGTAAGCTTACGAAAATGGATCTGAATCTTAGCAAGGTCGAAAGTAACTGTTAGAAAAATTGGAGAATGGATCGAAAACATACCGGGTCGGATCTCGGGTCGGGTCGGTCGGATCTCCTTAGCTCACGCTTAAGCTAGACTATAAAAGTCTGAGCTTTTAAGTGCACAGCAGAGCACCACTTTTGCAAGAAAGAAAATTAAGAGAGAGAGAGAGATAGTAGGAAAGCTCTACTACTGGAGTGATTTGAACTGATGGGGGGAAGCCTCTATTTATAGCTTTTGTCAGGGATATTTTGGGTAGCATAAAAATATCCACTGAGCCCATCAGATAAAATCTGAGATAAGATATAATATATCCTTATCTCATAATATCATGATATTTTGAATTCAAATCCAGAATCAATCTTAATTAATTCTAAATATATATACTTAATATATATTTAATCTATACAATATAAATTAATTAATTTAATATAAATTAATTAGATTTATATCGTAACCGATTGGATATGATTCAGGATGTTTGACCAAGTCAAACATATCATGATATCGCTTGGATATTTGACTGATATATTCTCTTTATACCGGTCAAATAATCCGGCCCATCAAGGGCGGATCCAAGCCCAAAAATCTAACATCTCCCACTCGCACTTGATGGGCTGTCCATCGTGCGATAGCTAAATCTTTCATTGCTTCATACTAGGTGTCTGCCGTGACCGCGTGGGCATGACGTCATCGATTCGGGCGCCTGTGCACTAGGAATCCTTTATGCAGGACCAGCACACAAGAACACCCTTGGTACCTGCAAATTGTATGCTTGTTGCCTCGAATGCCCTAGTTTTATCCATACACTTTACTTGTGGCATATCTAATCCCTCTCGAGTTGTTTTGTTTACTCAGATTGCCTTTTTCATACGTATGGTATCCACACTTGCTTAGTTGTTCTGTTCAACCTGCAAGGGACATGTCACAGACACCAACGTAGATGTGTATTTCAGGATAAACCTTCCTTCTGACTATTCATCATTTAGATTTGGCATAGTCGCTTTCTCAGTCTTGACCCGTTAGATCGTATCATTCTTGACCATGGGGTTTAGGCTAGAGTAGCTGCCACTAAACCAAAACCTTGTGATGTTG